TCTTTGCATTGGTTGGTGTTCTCCCTATTGACAAGTCTGTTTCCTTTTTGATAAGTAGCTTCATGCTCTTGGAATTGTTTAGACACAGATGCTAGCCCAGATGACAGACAGGTGAGTAGTATCATGGCTTTCCTGGGCACACTTAAATATAGTGTGAGTATTTATGGAACCACTAGTAAAGCAGACAAATGGAAAATTTGAGATGACACATCTGTGATTTACTAGACTAAGATGTCCCTGGTATTCTTCCTTATTCATATCCTTGGAAAAGGATCAAGATTTTAAAATCTTGAAAAGTGAAGCAGTTCAGGTGAATATGTATTCATTTAGGATTTATACTGGGCCCTCTTCCAAAAGAACTGAATGAAAATTGCTTGCATATATAAAGGGAAAAGGTAGAATAGAATCCATCCTTAGAAAGCAGGTGGATGGATGTCACTGGCCACTTGAGAGGCACCAATCTCCCTGCTTGAATCCTGACTTTGTCTCTGAAATCTTTGCAGTTTTTCATCCAGCAGTAGACAGCAGACACGTTCCTATTGCAGATGTATGGATTTATCAAAAATTATTATCAGGCACTGTGTACTGTGAATTCCTAGAAACAGATCAGAGATCCTGTCCCTGAATTGAGCCAGAGTTTGGGTAATGCAAACGAACAGACCTGTAGAGATGCTTCTTTGCTGCCAGGTCTGTATTTAGCATTGCTATGGAGATTACCAAGTCCCTGCCCTGGCTCCAAACAGCTCACTGTCTAAGGTAATGCTGTCCTATGGAACTTTCTATAAGGTGGAAATGTTCTCTGTGTTGTTCAACCCAGTAGTCACCAGTCACGTGTGGCTATCGAGCACTTAAAATGTGATTAATGCAGGTAAGGAGCTAAATTTTAAATATTTACTGAATTTTAATTAATTTTATTATAAATAGCCACATGTGGCTAGTAGCTACCATGTTGAACAGGGCAGGTCTAGGGAGAAGATGCACATAAACACTTAGCTGGAATGGGTGTGCAAACAACAAAGGAGGGAGTGATTAATCAAATCTAAATGAAAAGCTACTTAAGGGCCCATTAGATGGTGTCTCTCAAGGATCAGACATTCTGTCAAAGCTTTGGCAGGTTATGGCTCACTGCCAGGTCATGATGCAATTTTCTAATAAGGACTGGCTGTGCCTTGTTTTATAGCCTTCATTAAAATGCACACTTAGCTTCAGATGCCAGTGGTGGTGGGTCAGGTTGCAATATGAGGTCAAGTTTGTGTTCCCTTCCAAAGGGACATAATCTTCTGAAGGCAAACCTTGGCTGCTGGAGGTGTCTGTGGGTGGAACCAGCACTTTTCTTATTCAATAGGTCTTCTCAAGGACACATAAAAGTCTGTGGGGAACATTTCTAAAGTTCTGCTGTGTTTGAAAAGAATTTCCAGACAGGTATCACCAGTTCACTATGTAATTTTTCCATTTAAAAGAAAGTCTTTGTGACCCTCTGAAGTGGAATGAGATAAGTTGAATACTACCTACTTATACAGGGATTGGAGGTTTTGAACAGCCTGGGATGAATCAGTTGCTTTTTAAAATATGTTGGTGCCAAAGAGAGAACTTGTGGGATTCTTGTCTCCATCCCAAGCTGAGTACTTTTGGGTGGCACAAAAGGGCTAAAGAATATGAACCTATTTGAAAAAAAAATTGAATATAATATCTTTATAAGAGTATTTGTTCTTGTCTTGGATTTAGCAGCTGTGATTGGTTGTAAGATTATTTTCCTTTTTGCAGGGTTACAGATGGAACTCAGGGCCTAATACATGCCAGGCAAACACTGTACCACTGAGCTACACCCCCGGCCCTGGTTGAAAGCTTTTTTTAAAAAAATATTTACTTTTAGTTGTAGTTGGACACAATACCTTTTTTTATTGATTTAAAAAAATAAATGACAGTACAATGCATTACAATTCTTATTACACATATACAGCAAAATTTTTCATATATCTGTTGTATATAAAGTATGTTGACATATAATTCGAGCCTTCATACATGTACTTTGGACAATGGTGTCCATCACATTCTACCACCCTTGTTAATCCCCTGCCCCCTCCCTTTCCCTCCCACCCCTCTGCCCTATCTAGAGTTCGTCTATTCCTCCCATGTTCTCCCTCCCTACCCCACTATGAATCAACCTCCTTATATCAGAGAAAACATTCAGCATTTGTTTTTTTGGGGGTTGGCTAACTTCACTTAGCATTATCTCCTCTAACTCCATCCATTTACCTGAAAATGTCATGATTTTATTCTCTCTTAATGCTGAGTAAAATTTCATTGTGTATATACCACAGTTTCTTTATCCATTCATCTACTGAAGGGCATCTAGGTTGGCTCCACAGTTTAGCTCTTGTGAATTGTGCTGCTATAAACATTGATGTGGACACAATACCTTTATTTTATTTATTTTTATGTGGTGCTGAGGATCAAACCCAGGGCCTTGCACGTGCTAGGTGAGTGCTGTGCTGCTGAGCCACAACCTCAGCCCCTGTTTGAAAGCTTTGAAGAAGTCTTCATAGCTCAGAATGTAGTTTGAGATTGAATGGTTTTATCCATAAATGGTTTGTATCTGTTGAATCCAAGGTCATTGAAGGAGTAATAATACAAAATTGTGTTATGTTGCTCTTAACTCTTTAGCTAATGGCATGTGGCAGGATATATTGACAAACAGTAAAGGAATGGCTGGGACTGCAAGCAAAATATTTGTTGGAGGAGTGTACTCTTACAATTTTAGAGCATTTTGGATTTCAGATTTTTAGGTAGGGATGCTGTATTTTGAAATCAGTGAGTATAATGCCTCCATATTTGTTCTTTTTCCTCAAGGTCACTTTGGCAATTTAGAGTCTTTTGTGATTTCACACGAATTTCAGGATTGTTTTTTTTTTTGGTTTTTGTGAAAAATGACATTGGAATTTTGATAGGAATGTCATTCAATCTGTAGAATGTTTGAGTAGTAAGAACACTTTACCAATATTAAGTGTTCTATCCATGAAGATGGAATATCTTTCCAATTATTTATGTGTCCTTCAATTTATTCCATTTTTTCCAGATTTTATTGTATAGATCTTTCACTTCCTTGGTTAAATTTATTCCTAAGAGTTTTTTTTGTACTGAAATTGAACTCAGGGCCTTACTTACTTAGGCAAGTAATGTACTATTGAGCTATATCCCAGGGCCTCACATATACCAAACAAGCTACATATACAGAACTTCCTAGTACTATTTTAAATTTTATTTTAAAATAAGTTCTCACTAAGTTGCCCAGGTTGACTTCAAACTTGCAATTCACTGTCATCAGTCTCCCATATAGCTGGAATTACAGACTTGTGCCACCATGCCCATCATCTTAAGTGTTTTTAATGATAGTTAACTAGGATTGTTTTCTATTTTTTAAAACTTACTTAGGCCAGGTGCAGTGGCACATGCTTATAATCCCATTGACTTGGGAGGCTGAGGCAGGAGGATTTAGAATTTGAGGCCAGTCCCAGCAAATCAGTGAGGCCACAACCAATGTAGCAGGACCCTGTGTAAAAATTAAAAAGGCCAGGATGCCAGGTGTGCTGGCACATACCTGTAATACAAGCAGCTCAGGAGGCTGAGGCAGGAGTATCATAAGTTCAAAGCCAGCCTATATAAAAGCAAGGTGCTAAGCAACTCAGTGAGATCTGTCTCTAAATAAAATACAAAATAGGGCTGGGGATGTGGCTCAGTGGTTGAGTGTCCCTGAGTTCAATCTCCAGTAACCCCCACCTCAAAAAAAAAAAAGGTCAGGGGTGTGACTCACTGGTAAAGTACCTCTGGGTTCAATCTCCAGTACAACCGCCACCCCCAAACAAACAAAAACTTATTTGGAGTATATAGAAATGTGACTGATATTTTTGTGTTTATTTTGTAACCTACAATTCTACTGAATTTATCAGTTCTTCATTTCCTATATGAATGCCTTTTATTTCTTTTTCTTTTTTTTTTTATAAAGAATCTGTTTTTTGTCTTTTTTTTTTTAGAATTTATTTATTTATTGTATTTTTTAGTTTTCAGCAGACACAACATCTTTGTTTGTATGTGGTGGTGAGGATCGAACCCAGGCCGCATGCATGCCAGGCGAGCGCGCTACCTCTTGAGCCACATCCCCAGCCCCAAGCCACATCCCCAGCCCCGTATTTCTTTTTCTTGCTTAACTGCACTGCTTTTTCTTCACCCCATAAGTTTTGATGGGCTGTGTTTCCTTTTTTTTCTTTGTCTCAAGATACATTTTAATTTTCCTTTTGATTTCTTCTTTGACCTATTGATTAGTTAGGAGCACATTGTTTGATTTTCGTCTATTTGTGAGTCCTCCAAGATTGCTACCATTATTGATTTGTAGTTTCATTCACTTGTGGTCAGAAGAGATACTTGTTATGATTTCAGTCTTCTTAGATGTGTTTGAACTTGTTTAGTATCCTAATGTATGATCTGTCCTGGAGAAAATTCTGTGTGCATTTGAGAAGTATTTTTTTTTTTTTTTTTTTGCTATTGGATGGAATGTTCTATAATATTGTTGGATCTATTTGATCTAAAATGTAGTTTCAGTCCAATATTTCCCTATTGATTTTCTGTTTACTTCATCTGTCCAATGTCTAAAGTGGGGTCTCCTATTTTTGTATTACAGCCTCTTCATATCTATTAATATTTCCCATTAAAATTGAGATGTTCTAATGTTAGTTGCATATATATTACAGTCATTGTAACTCCTTGATTAATTAGCATTTTTCATTATATAATCACCTTCTTTGTCTGTTTTTATAGTATTAGACTTAGAGTCTATTTTGTTTAATGTAAGCATATTACTCTCACTATTGGTTTTCATTTGTAGAGACTTATCTTTCTTATCCCTTTATTTTCTAAAGAGAAATTACTATATCAAGAAAATATTTCAGTATTATTTTGTTTCATGCAAAGATAGTTAAATTTTTAAATTCTCTTTTTCTTTTTAGGATCTGGAGACTCTGATGATTTTAATCTGGAGGATGCACTGAAAGAAACTTCCTCAGTAAAGCGTGAGTAGTAAATCAAACTATTAAAACCAAACAGTAGTGATTAATAGGGACTACCCACTCAGAATATATATACCCTCAAGAATAACAAGGTAGTCTATATTACACTTGATCAGGTTAAGCATGACTAGAAATTATATTATTTTTAAAATATGAATATGTGAAGTCCTTTGTTGAGAAAATCTAACAATGTCCCCAAGAGGGAACTACAGTAGGCTGTGGAGTATGTTAGTTTTTTTGTGCTGTTCTGTCAATTTATTCTATAAATCTTTTTCTAAAGATTAGTTGGTATTTTTTGTTTTCCATTACATGTGCAGGGCTTTTTCATATGTACATATATAGCTTGTTTTTGACTGCTGCTTTGTATGCTACAGTATGCATTCAGCAAACATCTGAGTGCCACCTCTGTGACAGTTCTTTTTTTTTTAGAGAGAGAGAATTTTAATATTTATTTTTTAGTTCTCGGCGGACACAACATCTTTGTTTGTATGTGGTGCTGAGGATTGAACCCATGCCGCACACATGCAAGGTGAGCGCGCTACCTCTTGAGCCACATCCCCAGCCCTCTGTGACAGTTCTTGTTTTAGGCACTGGGGAGATAGAGCACAGACTGGTGCCTCTTAGAACTAGCATTCCAGTAGTATGGATTTGGCCATGGCCAATAATGACATTTATTCACTGGCAGATATGTAGTTTTTTCCCCCCTTTTTACACAATTACAAATAGGGCTACAGTGAACATTCTTGTCCATGTCCTTTGTACCTATGTGTAATGAAACTGCTAGGGCAAAGTGTGTGTGTATTTTACATCTTAGTAAATTTTGTCAAATTGTATTCCAAAGTGGGTGTGCTGTTATGTACTGCCACTGATATTGTTGCAATAAGACCTTTTTTCTCAGACCTGCTACAATAACACTAGATTTTTCTTATCAATATTTTCCAAATATGATAGACAAAACAATATCTCATTGTTTATTATGCATTCCCCTGATTATAGTACGATAGAGCATCATATTACATATTTATTGGCCAGTTGCATTTTCCTCTTTGATGAACTGTCTGTTCACATCCTTTCCCCATCTTTCTGCTGGCTACTCATCTTTTCAAAATGAGTTTAGAGGATTTCTTTGTATATTCTGTGTTGAGAAAGTTAGGGGCTCTGGAGTGAGACCCTTCCTAGGTCTGAACCCAGCCTCTGCCATTAATTGACTGTCACCTTGTATAAGTCAAGTGATTTCTCTGCATCTCAGTTTCCTCATCTAATAATAATAATAATAATAATACCTGCCTTCTGGGATAATTGTAAGGATTAGATGAGATGATCCACGTGAAGCATTCAGCACAGTACTTGGAACAAGGTGAATAACAAGTGTTAGCCATTGTTGTTCTTTGACTGGCTTGGTTAGAGTGACTGACTGTGATTGGGCAAGCATACCCAAGGAACACACAGACCTGCCTAAATCAACTGATAGACTCAACACAGTTCCTGCCAAGATTCCAGCTGGACGTTTTGCAGAAATGAAAAGGCTGATTCAAAAATTCATATGGAAATTCAGGTGACTCAAAATCTTCAAAACTTAATGCAAAATGTATAATATTCAAAGTATTGTGGTATGGATAAAAAGACAGATTTAGAGATCTGTGGACTAGAATTGAGAGTCTAGAAATAAACCCTGACATCTACGGCCAGTTAATTTGTTGTAAAACAAATGCCAAGATCATTCAAAGGGCAAAGAACAGTCTCCATCAAATGGCGCTGGGACAACTGGCTATCCACATGCAAAAGAATGAAGTTGGACCTTTACCTTATACCACACACAAAAATCAACTCTGAAGGATGATAAACCTAAAAAACTATATATCTCTTAGAAGTTAATGTTTGCATGTGGTGTGAGGTAAGAGGTTAGAGTGTTCTTAGGACTTTCCTGAGCATGCACACAGTCTTATGCATGTGAGTGGCCTCTTTGATTCCCAGGAAAATAAATAATTTATTGACAATGTTGATTTTAATGAAATTATTAAACATTTCTAAAAGTAACAGGACAAGAAATGAAAAGTATAAACAGACTCCAAATTAATAAACTTATTATTCTTTAATGGGGCCTTTTTATATGGTGCTAGATATTGAACCCAAGCCTGTGCATGCTAGGCAGGTGCTCTGTCACTGAGTTACACCCTAGCCCCTTAGTATTAGTATTAATACTAATACCCCCTTCTGAGTCATGTGCCAGACCATCTAATCTGAGTCTTAGGCACCCATCAGCCAGTGTGTCTGGAACTCTTAGCACCACCAAATGTCATGTCTGTTGTTGAAAGACAGCCCTTAGGACCACATCATGCTGCCACCTTTTGTTTTCTACCTTACCTTACATTTTCATGTAGTTGAGATTTCAAAGACATAGGCCTTGGTCCAATCATTTATCCTATGGAGAATGTTCTCATTTGTACATTGTGCATTCCTTCTCTTATTTAAAAAAATTCATGAACCACCTAGTTTGGGGTACCCTTGTCAGTGACCTCTGTCTATTCAGTCATCAATGCTTAATGTGTACCTGCTTGCTGCCAGGCACAATCCTAGGTGTTAGGCATATACTGTGGAAAAGGTCACTGCCCTTATGAAGTTACTTTCTCCAGGAGGACACAGAAAGTACCTAAAATAATTTCAGGATGATGTGATGGTGGAGGCCCAAAGAGGTGATAAGGAGCAGCTCCTTTAGATAGAGTGGCAAAGGTTCTCTGAAGAGAGGTGATGTGCAAGGAGTCATGCAGATTGGGGAAAAAGCCTTCAAGGCTAAGGGATCAGGCATGAGAACTCTGAGGTAGAAAAGTGCTGGGCTTACTCGGGCCTGGAACGCAGCCTGTGTGGGTGGAGTGTGGAGAGAGTTGGAGAAAGCATAGAGAAGTTGTCAGGGAACAAATCATACAGGATCTCATAGGGCATGGTGGTGACTTTTATTGTAGGTGTAAGGGGAAGCTCCTTAAGGATTTTTGAATAGCTTTATTGTCATATAATTCATATTCCATAAAATTTACCCATTTCAACATGTACAATGCTTTTAGTGTACTCATAGGATTGTGCAACCATGACTATTGTCATTTTCTCTTCTTTTCTGTAGTGCTAGGAATGGAATCCTGGGCTTTGCACACATGAAGCAAGCACTCTACCCCCACTTACTTTTCCAGCCATCAGTCAATTTTGGAATGTTTTCACCATATCATAAAAAATAAGCCCTGTACCCTATGTTACTTCATTTTCTATGGCTGTAGCTGAATGCACAGACTGGGTTGTTCATACAAGATAAAGGCTGGTTTGGTTCATGGTTCTGTGGGCTGGGAAGTGTAGGAGCATGGTGCTAGAATCTGGGGAAGGCTTCTTGCTGCATCATGGCATAGAGAGACAAAGCAAGTCAGACCTTGTTTTTGTAACAAAGCCATTCCTACAATGACCATTATTTCAGTAAGACCCTCCTGAGGTCAGAGCCCTCATGACCCCATCATTTCTTTTTTTTTTTAGAGAGAGAGAGAGAGAGAGAATTTTTTTAATATTTATTTTTTAGTTTTCGGTGGACACAAAATCTTTATTTTTTTATTTTTATGTGGTGCTAAGGATTGAACCCAGCACCCTGCGCTTGCCAGGCAAACGCACTACTGCTTGAGCCACATCCCCAGCCCAACCCCATCATTTCTAAAGATCCTTCTTGTCAGCATTGCTGTATTAGGGACCAAAACATGTGAGCTTTGGAGGACATCTTCAAACTATGGTAACTGTTGTTTTTTTTCTTTTTCTTTTTTTTTTTTTTTTAAGATTTATTTAGTTGTAGATGAACATACAGTATCTTTATTTATCTTTATGTGGTACTGAGGATCGAACCCAGTGCCTCACACATGCGAGGCAAGCACTTTGCCACTGAGCTACAGCCCCAGCCTGCCGCAGTCTGGCTGGGCACAAATCACTAGCCACTGAAGCAGGAACAAACTTTATTTTTAAACTGTAGGAAAACACTTCACACAGCTCCCTGGGAATCGTCCTGAACGCCACGAGGCTTGTCCAGGAACCCCCAGCCGGAAATATCTCTCCCGGAAATCCCTCCTCCTGCACTTCCCCAACCAATGGGAACTCTCGGGGAATCCCCGGAAATCCCCACGAGAACTCCAAAATAGTGCGAGAACTCAAAAGTTGCAGCAGAGGCGGATAGTAATGCCTTGCCTATCAATCAATACTGTTGGCAAAATGCCAGGGGCCATACAGACTCAGCCGTGGCTCTCAGCACCAGCCCCTATGGTAACCCTTTACTTGTCATCACTAATCCCCTGATTCTTCCCGTTCCCACCCTTCACCCTTAAGCAACTACTAATCTCTTTGTGTTTCTATGGATTTCCCTATTCTGGATATTAATGGAATCATTCTTTTTGTGGACTTTATTTCTGGCACCTTTCACATAGTGTAATGTTTTCCAGGTTCATCTGAGTTGCTTTCACAATTTTGTCCCCTACTCAGTCTTCAGTTCTCCTGGAGTAATACATGTCTGCTTTTGAGAAATAAAACTTTTTATGATGTGGGCCCAGTGGTTTGTGCTTTTAGTCCCAGCAATTTGGGAAACAGGTAGGAGGATAACTTGAGCCAGAAGTTCAAGGTCAGTTTGGACTACATAGTGAATCCCTATCTCAAAACACAACACAACACAACACAACAAAACAAAACAAAAAATGTAAAAAATGTAACTTTTTGTGAGTGTCCTTGTTTCCTAGGAATGCCATGGTCCCTGTCTTAGTATATTTGGTTTATTGTAGCAAAACATCTTGACTAGGTAATTTATTTTAAAAGGAGAAATTTACTTATCACAGTTCTGGAGGCTAGGAAGTCTAAGATCAAGACATCAGCACATTTGATGTCCGGTGAAGTCTTCTCTTTGCTTCATAAATAGTGTCTTCTATTGTTGTCCTCAAGTGGTACAAGGGACAAATCGGCTGCCTCAAGCTTCTTTTACAAGGGCCCAAGTGCCA